ACACCACCTAATAAATCACTGACATAAAGGTAAGCTGTGTTCACCTCACATCATGATGCCCTCGCCGTAAAATAAAGATAAATCCATATCACATAATAATGCTTTGATATAATAGAAATATACACTCTCAAAAAGGAATGGGCTTTTGATTTCATGTAATAATAAGTTTAATTATAAAACACAATGTACTTGACGTAATACAATTTTTACCTCACATATTAAAGAAATGAAATGATGTAAAGAAACATTCATTTCACGTAATAAAGTTTTAACACAATATAAACACATTATCACTTCACATAATGAATTTTTTACTTCAAGTTATAAAGTGCTGACATAATGAAAGAATGTATTTATTTCATGTAATGCAGCATTGACATGATGTTAAGATATATTTACATCATCTCATAAAAAATGGACATAACGTAAAGATATGTTCACATCACGTAAATGATAAATTGGTATAATAAATGCATAGTTGTATGCTATAAGGCAGTGATGGCGTTCCATAAAAACATAAAATTAAGGACCTTTCTACATTCAATCTTGTTTTTGGAGAAAGCTCAATTAGTGATTCTCCTTTTGTTAAGAACACTGGAGCCTTTTTCGACCAGACTTTAATTATGGAGAAAAACTGCAGTTCAATATTTAGAACATGCTTCAATAATATCCGGAAAATCGGTCGCATCCGTCCGTACATCACAGACGACGCATGTGAAACTTTGATAAATTCACTTGTGACGTCCCGACTCGATTATGCAAACTCATTGATGTATGGTATAAATAATAAACTGCAAAAAGTTCAAAATACTGCTGCGCGGCTGATTACTCGTACCAGGAAATCTGATCACTTGACCCCAATCTTGAAAGATCTCCACTGGCTCCCTGTCCAATACAGGAGTCAATATAAAATACTTCTATTTGTATACAATGCATTGAACAATCGTGCTCCAAATTATTTGTCCGAGCTTCTCAAAATATACTCTCCTTCCAGGTCCTTACGTTCACAGTGTTCTTTTCTTTTGGATGTTCCTAAAGTTAGAACTGTTACGTACGGCAGTCGTCGATTTGACTACGTCACCGTCTCACTATGGAACTCTCTTCCTCTGTGTCTTAAAAAATCCAAATCTGTTTCCGCTTTTAAAAAAGGTCTTAAAACTCACCTCTTTGAACGAGCTTACGAGGGAATGTAAACATTGTTTTTATAGTGATATACCTAATGTAAAAAGACACTGAACTGATCTTAAAGTCTTTAAGGTTTTTTATTTTGTGCTCTACTGATCAATTACAGGTTACTTTAATATTTATTTTTTTCTTTTTTAATGTTTCATTAGTTGTAAATTTATCAAAGTGACTCCCACGCAACTTAATATTTTATGGTCTTTTAGTACACATAAAGTCTTTTAGATATCCTATTTTTATGCACAAATATGTATTATGTATTTTTTTAAAAGTAATTTGTTTGCCATTTTGCATGTTTATATGTATACTTTAATGTGAAGCGCACTACAAGTGTCCATCTTTATAATGCGCTATAGAAATTATTGTATTGTATTGTAATAATAGGCTCTCCTCTAGCAGAAAAAAGATTTTTATATAACATTCCTACATATTAAAAGAATAATATCATAAATAAATTTTAGAAAATACATAAATCCATAAATCGATAAAAGATATAAAAAGTATGAAAAAATTAAAGCACTGAAGATAATGATGAGATGGACAATGTTCGTTTTGAAGTCAATATTAATAATTGTTATTTCTAAAAAAAAAAAAAAAAAAAAAAAAACCACTAACAATATATTTGCCAAGGCAATTTAAAAATATAAAGAAAAACAATTTAGAATTTTAAAATACCAAATGAACCCATTTGAACAAATCCTTTTTTAAAAATTGAAAACATATATAAGTGACCTGTTCTTGTAAAAGAGAAAACACATGTTTATATTCTTTAATGACTCTATAATAACTGAAAATAATATATGATGCATAACTTTACATATAAATGCTATATAAATATATAACAAACATTAAACCGATTTCTGATATAAACGTAAATATTTATGTTTATCTTAAAAATTATTCATTAAGTTCGGGACACTTAGTTTTGAAGAATTTATATTCTGAAAACTTTAATACCCGTCTACTATTTCAGATCTTAACGAAAGTACAATTATCAATTTCATACATAATTTACAGAATGGATCACTCTACCCGCCTATCAGAGATCCTCTATGTACGTCTGAGTCGTAGGATAGGGACACCAAGTAAAGTGACCATCAGAAGGGACGTGTGGGACGTGAAGAACATGGTACATCAATTTGCATGTGCCCATTATCTCTGTTCAGGAAGACACAGCCATTTTGCAGTAAGAAATATGCTAAGTGGAAGTCATAGAGAGGGATTCAGGTTTGATTCATCTGACCTGGATTACATGGCATGGTCTAGTTGTCATAAACTAATAAACGACATTTCTCAGTTCAGAGATTATAATCCATCACGTGATCATACTATCATATTCATGGAAGACACAGATACATCTCCAGGTTTTGTTAGACTACAGCTCTTAACATCCCATCGCAGCAAAGCCATCAGATCGTCACTCATTACATTCAAAAGTAGAATTTATATATCAAGTTTGATATGGAGACAAGAACAGTTTCAACATGAATCTATTAAAATAGGTAGCCAAAATGTTACTGCTCATGGTCCCTGTGCGAGTGGTTATCTTGGAGCTTTTGAATTTGATCAAACATTTTGTTTCAGCTGCAAATATTGGCCAAGTTGTACAAAAAACTGGATAAAAAGATGTCGTTGGCACAAATGGCCTCCTGCAACTGTGCTTCAAGATATTTTAAACAATGGTTATCATTGTGTACCTATTGGAAGTAAAAGTACTTCCAGTAGAAATGATCTAGAGTGGAGGTTGTCATTTTCGCTAGCCGAACAAAAACTGAATCATACCCAATTTTTATGTTATGGACTCCTCAAAATATTTCTCAAAGAAGAGATCAATAGAAACGTAGAGGAACTGTTACTGTGTTCTTACTTCATGAAGACTACAATGTTCTGGTTAATACAAATTGGACATTTGAGTTGGCATCCTAACAATCTACTGGAATGCTTTTGGATGTGTTTTAAGTATCTCATTTTCTGTGTGTATCGTGGCAAATTTGCCAATTTTTTTATTCCTCAGAACAATATGTTTGTGAACAAAATTGTTGGTGCTGCACGTTAATCTCTTCTAGAACAACTTGATCAGTATTTCAGACTAGGCGTATCCTGTGTACTCCTTAGTCCACACTAAGATCTCTCCTTGAGCCAGCCCTGAACGATCTGTCATTAGTGATCCCCTCATCCAGAGGACATTGTTACGACATTGGATGTAATGATTATTGTTTTTCATATGAAGTATATTATGCATATTTTTCTTTGAATTCTTTGAACAATTGTTTTATTTTTCTAAGGACTTTAGAGTACTTAATATTACATTCATCACTGACACCATACCAATTGTTAACCCTACAAATCTGGACAGCTGATTCTCTTGCTCATGTAGCCTTCGAGATTATAAACAATACTTCATATTTCAACCATAAACAATTGTACTGTTTGGACAGAATGATTTGCAATATCTTGAAAATGTCATCGCAGATTGGAACCATCTCCCACTCAGTGTATTTAACTATCCATTACTATAGGACCGGAAGATACAATGAGGCACTTTGTGTTACTAACCGGACTAAACAAAGACTATCAAAGCCCTATGTTATGCATGATGGTATTAAATATCATGGAGGTAGATATATGTATAGGGAATATTTAAGTGGTCTGTCTTTGTCTAGGAGAATTAAAAGTGCTTGGGCGGTGACAATCAGATTTCATTCTAATAGATACCTTATTGAAGAATTAACATTAAAACTTTTCGATCCAGAGCTAAACACTGCTAAATATACGCGAGTTTTTTATTCCACCAACTGTTTTAGTAGGAATGTTGACTGTTTTATCCCACTATAGACTAGGTAATACAACTCAGTATAAACAGTCACTTACAGATCTACACACACTGCTGCTCTACGATGATGGATCATACGTGGCCTTACAAAGTCGAGATATATCCTGACAGATACTAGGAATCTGTCAGCAAGTTGTGGGGCACTTACACGGGGCTTTACAGTCTTATCGAGAGTCGCTTAGACAGGAACCATTTCATGAATTGAAGGAAGCTACAAAACTTAGAATAGATTTAATACATAATCAAATGTGTGAAATTCCACTTTATTAAAGAAAAAATATGAAACCATGTTATTTTTGCAAGATGTCACAAAAGGCATCCTCAGTCTAGACAGAAAAAAACCATGTGCGATATATTTTTCAGAATGCCCTTTAAACATACCAATAAGCAAGAAACAACTTGTTATATGCTTTGTTGGTCTAGTACACATGTACCCGTTTTTCTACTTTGATGATATGTATACAAATGTACGCTTCGTTGTAACATTTCATCTGTTCGAACAACTACTTAAAAGATTTTAATACCTTTTCATACCAGCCTATTCTTCTTTCTGCAAAGGTGTTATGTAATCCCATTTTTTTTATTTCAGGTATGTAAAATTGTGAAATAATCTAATGATGTCTTATGTTCGGCCTAATTGAGAGGTCTATATGTTGTGCTTCAATTTAAAATAAAGCACACAATTATTTAATATGTTGTAAAATTTAGACATGTCTCAGGCTTCCCCTGCCAACCGTTTACATCCACCCAGTGCTCCTTGTCATGATCTCAACGTTATATCCAAATATTAGCAAACATTTAAAACCAAATGTTCAGTCAATTATCAGGTTCAATTTATTATTTCTGAGACAAAGGGGCTATTTTTGTTGTCATTCTAATTTTCAGGCTAATCAAACATTTGCAATTATCAAATTTAAATTATTCGTTATCTCCTAATATTTATTATAAAAGAGAACAGATTCTTTTTAAAACCAGGACAATAATTATGAATACCTTGTATCAATTATCAATTATGACACTTCTTTCTGTAGATGAAGAATGGAGATTTTGGAGAACCGAATGGTTTTGATGACGTGGATGGTTTAATTCCTCTTGTAAAGGCCAGAAGATGCATTAATCTGGTATGTAAATATACATTACTCGCCTCATTCTTTTGAAATTTTGTAAAATGATTTCTTCATGTAGGAAAATTTTACAGTAAATGAAACAAAAATCAGGAAATGAAATGCAAATTTGCAAACTTATTTGAGCATTATCCATCGCACACTTTGAAACTCTTAATAAGGGGAAAGGTAACTTGTCAATGATTAAACATTTGATTTTAATTATGAAAATGTATATACTGTACGGTCATATAAACACTCTGGTGAGAAATTTGAATTCATCACTTCCTTAAAAATTACCCCAATAAATTACATTCTCTTACTATATCGACGATGACTTTGGGTGTACAAGATACTTAAAACGGCATTTGTAAAACATGGTTCATATGCTGATTTTTTAAATCATACTTGCAAAAAGACTGTATCGGTTTATAAACAATTAATTATATGTGTAGAAGATTTTATTTTGTTTGTAAAACTGCGTATTCGGCATTGTATACTTACAAGAGGAAATAATGTATATACAAGAACATTATTTCCACTCTGAATTGTCCACGGATTTTCCCGGTTGCGCGATGATGACGAGGGCGTGAACAGTGGACACGGGGTGTTTACTCCTCCATGGCACGGATTCCATTCTTATTCTTTAAGAGGTCCGCCTTTGCCTTGCTACCTAATTGTATTGTTTTAATAGCTTATTGAGCTTGATAATTTTTCGTCATCTCTATAGTAAAGTGATGGATTGATTGAATGAATGTATGTATGTAATTTTACGTCGCATTCGAGGTTTTTCCACTCATATAAGGTCATCATAAACCGATGTTGAGCTATACTCGGCACTCCAGGTAGTCCAATTCAAAAGACCCCAAAGCTTCCCAAAATGTGCCTAGCGCTTGACGAAAGACTATTTCATATCGGCTTGTGTCACTCTCGTCTTGGGTTTGAATCTACAACATTCTGATCACAGAGCAAGGGTTTTACGTAGTAAGCTACCGTGATACCGGTATACTAATAGCTGGTAAGAAAAAAGTAACGTGTATATATCTCAAATGTGTTTCCATTTCACTACAGAACACAGAAAACTATCTACCATCAACTGATGTCACAGACGATCTTCCATCAACAGGCGTGATAGACAATCCTTCATCAAGTGACGTCACAGACGGTCCGAATACCCAAAACGACATTGGTATAGAGAGAGAAGTGATAAGATGTCTTCAGCGAATTAACACTCGAACAAGTTCTGAGGTAAAATAGCAACGACGCCAATTATAATGACCTATAAAAAATATACATATACTTAATGAATTAAAGTGTGGAGGAAAAAGAAGCAATTGTAAATAACTGCTCCTTTAAATAAACAAATCAATAAATATTGGATACTTATAAAGTGAGGTATGAGTTACCGCAGGTGCTGAAATGCTAGAACAAAAAAAAACATCCCTCACTGCTCAAATGTCTTAAGTACTGAGTGCAGGTCCAAATGCGCAGCATTCTCCGACAAGTGGTGGCGTCAAATATAAAAAAGAAAGAAGCAAACAAATGCATTCTTAAAGCATTTAATTAATTTAGAATAATAATGACTGAATTACTTGAAAGTTGGAAAGTTGAAACTTCTTCAAACGTAAAATGCCAATATTTGTAATCACGGGTACTTGATATTTTAAACCTTTCTCTCCATTGTAAAAAAAAACATCCAAATACTATATATGAATGAAAGTATTAAAACAAAACGTCAAGCGCCCGTGTTTAAACCTATTTAACATTTAAAAATAATTTAAAGATTCATAGAGACCTTTTTAAATTTCATTGAAAGAAAGTCAGTGAATCCTTTCATTTGAACTTTTTCAGCTTGACGAGACAATTCTGGTATCTGAAATCTTTGTGAGGCACCAACGGGAGGATACTGATAAAGGGGATCCCTTAGGGGGGTTCCTTTGTTCAATTTCCAGGAAAGATGAAACGAACTTCCATGCATTCTGTACCCTAGATGAGAATGGCATTCTTGCGAAATATCTTCATGTGAAGTAAGTTTTTGTTGAAATGTTGGTTGATCAGCTCCCATAATTTACTGCAAAATATGCTGCAAACAGAACTTAAAATCGATCGAAAAAAGACGACCCACGAAACCAAAGCTTTATTTGATCTACATCTGTGTCAAAATATAATGCATTCTATCAAGTGTTCTTTGTTAAACCCTTTCATGTAATTTACGATTTATATTCAGTAAATGACAAACACGTTTATACAGTAATGTACAAATGTATCTATATTGTTTACTTTACTGATTAACTATTCATTTTTATAGAGAGAAAGACATTCTTGTAAGTTTAAATTCAGCACAGCTTCTGGAATCGTCATCTCTTTACCATGAGGATGTTATGGAACTTTTTAAAACTTTGCCTATAGGAGAATTAATCACTATGGTATTTTATTTGCTTTTGATTCAATCGAAATTAGAACTAAATGAGCCATTACTTTATTTCTCCTTTCAACAAATTCTTTAGAGATTAAAATAAATTTAAGTGAAAATACAGTTATTTTAAAGGTATGCATGAAGTTTAGCACTAGTCATATATTTGATTAAATTACTATTTAGGCTCAGTGATGAAGTTCCCAATATATTTACAAAAATATATCTTAAGGCAGAGGTTCAATAGAACAAGTTAAATAATCAGAAAACTTAGAATTAAGTTCTTTATTTCCCTCAGGTATTTTATAACAGGAAAACAAAGCTTTTTTCAACAGTTGAATTTGAACTGAAAGGAATCAGACAAGGTGAGAATTAAACACACATACAAATGCATGTAGATGTAATTTTAATTTAGCTTTATTCCAATGCAATTTTAAGAAAAATTGAATGAAAGAAATTCTTTTAAACATTTAATTTATGTATTTGCAGAGCTCAAAGTAAACTAATGCATTTGCTTATTGTAATTATGAATTTGATGATACACAATTGAAAATATATTTTTATTTCAGGGGAAGCAAATGAAGATGGTAAGTAAGATATGACAGCGATTAGGTTGAAATAGAAATGACTAACAAAATAACTATACCTGTTTTCACTAAACATATGGATATATAACGAACAGTATTCAAGATCAAAAGTCCAAAACAATACAAAATAGGAGCAGAGCAAACACGGACCTACAAAGCACCAGAGGTGGGATCAGATACCAAGGAGGAGTGAGCATCCCCTACCGACTGGTCACACCATATTCTTTCACTTATTTCGTTTACTTGTCCAACTTCAGAATTTTTCACTCATATGGGAACGCCACCACTTGATGCTGGGGTGGTATTTCGTCACTCAGGGCCATAGAGCAATGAGGGATCTTTATGGTGTCCACATCTTATGTAATGAAACATATGGAGATAACGAACATTATTTCATATCAAAAGCCCATAAAACAATACAAAATAGGAGCAGAGTAAACACGAACCTCCAAAACATTGGAGGGTGGGTAAGGTGCCATGGAGGATTGAGCATGCCCTGTCGACGGTCACACCCGCCGTGTGCTTCTTGTTTTGATTCGGAAATAACAGGAAAATCTGTCGTCAATTCAGTGTTTAAATAATGGACTAACGATAAGTATGAAAAACATCAGTCAGCATTTGACTAAATAATAAATTATATTTGCAGACAAGGTCATTGTATCGACTATATAACTTACGAAATGAAGACTTTAAAATAGCTTTCTGAAATTCTTGTTTTATCAACTTGTATGTCAATAATTTACCTCGTTGTAGAAACTGTTAATACCTAGAGCATGCTCTTGCGTATATTTAATCAATTGAGATATGTAAACTCCGTATACAGGTAGTGTAGTTATATTGCTGCATGAGTAAGAGAAGTTGACGTGGTGTCTTTTATCTCAAAATACCAGGATATATCGTATCGACGTAGGAATGGAAATTACCATTATTTATTGACAATACGTGTCGTATATTAAATGTGAGTTGAAGTTCACAGCAAGTGTTTTTTTTTTTTCACGCATAAGATTTTGCATAAATTCTGCTTCATATGAATATAAAAATAAGTCTGCTAATAACGAAGCGCAATTTGTACCATGGAATTCTAATAACTGTTTGGGAAAACCGGGTCTCCAAAAACCACATAGATGTTGTCAATCAAAAACGCGAGCATCTTCTTGATGTCAACTCCAAAGTACTTATATGTGCAATTTGAATTGTTTTAACAAAATAATTTTGCAAAAGACCAATGACGAGGTAAGTAGAATTACGAGTTTCATTCTTTACTGATTGATTGATTATATACTGTTTAACTGTTATATGTTTTAACCCGGATCCCCCCGGGGGCCATTTTTTTAAGAAGCTGCTGTCAATGATATCAAAAAGCCTGGATTTTAATTTGTCGTAGGGCATTGTTGTGTAGAAAGTTGAAAAGTCGTAAGTTTTAAGCTGTTGATATTTTAAAGTCTTTTGATTTCGAAATGTCCCAAAAACTCTTTAGAATTTTTTATTTACATCTGATTCACACCACTTCTTGAATAATTAAATTTCACAGTACTCTTGAAGTTTTTCCTTCACTACTGTCAATATCTTAGTGAGGAGAACGAAAAAGGGTTGGTTGAAATTTACTGGAACCTGCAATATATCTTTGTTTGTAAGGATTCTTATGAATTTTTGGGAATCTAATATATATAAGGTAGTTCAAATTCATTTTGGCTCTGTGGAATATTGAAAGTATTCAAAACTGACATGTGATTTTGTAGAATTTCTTCCTTAGAAAGAGATATTTTTATTTGCTGGGATATTGCTGTATAGATATGTAAAGTTAGCTACTAGTAAATGGCTACTAGTGCTCAGAAGAAGAAAGTTGGCTACAAATAGCTGGCTATAATAGCTGGCCACGACAAGTAGGTAAAGCTGGCTACTAGTCGGTGGCTACGAGAAGGAAGTAAAGTCGGCTACTAGTAACTGGCTACGACAAGTTAGTAAAGTTGGTTCTGCACTAATTACTTTTCATCTACTTGTACATTTCAGGAGCAAACGAAATAACTGCGAAGCAATTTATTATTTTGAATAACTCAGAATTAATGAGGATTTGTCAGGGGCGATATTTACATGGAGACTGTGAAATACCAGCATCTGTCCTAGAAGTGTCCTTACAATGACAATGTCAAGTCTTTTGATATGATTAATTGTAATTTTAGTGATAAAAATAAAAATAATTAAAACGAAAAATTTGACATATTATTTTTAACTTTTTTTTGTTATCATAAAAATTGGTTTGTTTCTATCAGAAAATTCTTTTCTGTTGTTTTCAAAATTGGCATTTTGATGAATTTAAAAAGTCAAAGATAGTTTTTAGCTGATCCCCGCATATTTGATAAATAAGATGAAATCATATTTAATAATTGTTATATACACTATAAGTAACTGCCAGATTAAAAAGAAAAGAAAATAAATAAAACTTAAGTTTGTAAATTAACCATTTACAGAATGTCATTTTCAAAAGTTGGCAAAGCTTCACCATTCTTTTTACTTTTTAAGATTATAAACAAATCGAACACAGTTACATATGTTGGACTGCATATAAAGAAGTCCAACATGGGATTTTTATAACCTTGAGGTTTATGGCATCTGCCTTGTTCATGACAATTTTATTTGAGCAACATTTTTTTTCGCTTTCACGCAATCCCTATTGTATTACTGACCATATGGCTATAAAATAAATCAAAAACTTTAAATTGGGGGAAGGGAAAGCTGAGTTTATTCAAATTTCTTGGCAACTACACCAATCAGTGGAGACACTAAGAGCTTGTTTTTTTCAGCAATATCAGTTGATATTGTCTTTAAAAAACCCAAATACTTCAAGAATATCAAGATTTGTCTCTAAAATAGCATAATTTTACACAAAAGGTACTTGTAGCTGAGTCTGTTACTACGATTCTTGGTAACTTAGTGCCAATATTGCGAAAGCTCAGAGTTTGTTTTTATCAACAATACATGGATATAGCGGTGTAAAAATCCAGCTACTTCAAGAATATCTAGATTTTTTTCGCACGTTTGCATAATTTTAAAAAAAGGTACTAGTAGCTGAGTTTATTCTAACGATATCTGGTAACTTCAGTGCCAGATCATGAAGAAAAGCTCAGGGATTATTTTTATCAACAATATCAGTTGATTTCAGCAGTATACAAATCAATCAAAAATATCAACATTTGTATCCCAAGTTTGCATAATTTTACACTAAAGGTACTAGAAGGTTCAAGTCATTTACCAGTAGCCAGTTACTAGTACCAGCTTTACTTACTTGTCGTAGCCAGTTCCCTGTTGAATTCTTGTTTCATCAACTTGTTTTAATTTTCCTCGTTTTGAAAAGGTTCATACGTAG